GTACAGAGGGCTGAACTGATCATCAATAAACATGTCCTTCCTGAAGGTACATATGGCTGTGTGAACTGATCATCAATAAACTCAAAATTCTGCTTGTCAAAGGAATTCATTTTCACCTTGACAGAAGGATATGTATCTCTGCTAATATCCATCTCTGAATTCAATGTGATGGCTGCACGTGTCATCCAGACTAGTAATTGATATTATGAACAATGGTCCACTCAACTGGAGAACAATGGCACACAATCAATCAAGTGGCTGATTCTGACCACCCGAGCCATTAAGTCGACAAGGTTTAGTCAACAAGCATGGTTGCTAGGGACCAATCCAAACCTGGAAATGGCTGACATTTACATTGTAAACAATACTTTATTCATTTCTGTTACAGTGACTAATATAAGTATCAAGCCTTTAAGTTGGTTTATTACTATCACAATACTATTGCAACAGTGTGGGGTACTTTTGTAATCCAATCACAACAGTGAAAATAGCCCCAATAGTCAATAGAGTTTCAGTGCTTTAGACCACAAGGCCACCAAGGGTTGCAACTCTGTACAGTGAGTTTCAGTGCTTTAGACTACAAGGCCACCAAGGGATGCAACTCTGTACAGTGAGTTTCAGTGCTTTAGACCACAAGGCCACCAAGGGTTGCTACTCTGTACAGTGAGTTTCGGTGCTTTAGACTACAAGGCCACCAAGGGATGCAACCCTGTAAAGTGAGTTTCAGTGCTTTAGACCACAAGGCCACCAAGGGATGCAACTGTGTACAGTGAGTTTCAGTGCTTTAGACCACAAGGCCACCAAGGGTTGCTACTCTGTACAGTGAGTTTCGGTGCTTTAGACTACAAGGCCACCAAGGGATGCAACCCTGTAAAGTGAGTTTCAGTGCTTTAGACTACAAGGCCACCAAGGGATGCAACTCTGTACAGTGAGTTTCAGTGCTTTAGACCACAAGGCCACCAAGGGTTGCTACTCTGTACAGTGAGTTTCAGTGCTTTAGACCACAAGGCCACCAAGGGATGTAACCCTGTAAAGTGAGTTTCAGTGCTTTCAACCACAATGTCACCAAAGGGAAGCAACTCTGTACAGTGCTTCAGACCCCTGGACATCTGCAGGTAGCAGGCACTAGGGGACAGGCTGGTAACTTCCTTGACATAAAACAGGTGCCCTGGGGTTATGCTTTCATGCATGAATATGCAATATAATCAGAGAGGGCAAATATTGAAAGAGACACATGGTTCAGGAAAATGAACATAGAGGAAGATGACACCATGTGTGTTTATGGGGGGTGGGGACAGGGAACAGATGGATGGGAGGGGGAGGGGGAAGGGGGGAGGACAAGGATGCTGTGAGTATGCATCTGTGACTGTTGTTTCCTTGTCAGGTTTCCTACCTTTTTCAGTTCTTTTGACATCAGAGAAAATACATGCTTTCATGAGGATATTGAAACAAGAGTGAATCCCTGAACTTCCTGATTTAAAGATCAAAATGATCTGCAGGCCAACAGCAATAAATGTACGCAGTTTGTGACAACAGTACAAACAGAAGTCATCAGAGATACTGAGTGACACCAAATGCACACTTTCTAATTCCAATAAAGTTCATTCTAAATATTATCCCTCACAATTGTTGAGTTGTTAAACTATATTACTGGGACAGCAGTGTTTGAAATTTTGTGGGGTTGTGGTGACCTTGAGATGAGCTTAGTAAATCTACCGTCATCTTCCCGAGGCAAGATAGTTAACTGACTTCAAAAGTCCAGTTTCCACCCTTGCCGAACTAGACTGGTATTATGGAGTTACATTTTGCGCAACGAAATCGAATTCCAGTTCGTAAACTGTCGTGCTGATTTCAGACGATTGCCAGATTTGCAAAGCATGTGCACAGCCAACTTGTTGTCAACAGATATTTTCCAAATCTTTTCATGATTTTAATCAAGGTGCTCACGTGATTTGATGCACTTCGCGATATAAGACCCGTTTTATCACAATATAGGTCTTGATTATCGATCAGATCATCTTGACTAGGCGCCGCCATTTTGTTTGAATCAAATGCAAGTGATACGAGAAGTGGAATCTGATTGGTCCATAGGAGAGGTTTAGAAGGGACATAACTCATAATAATCACTGGTGGCGCTACGATTGTGCCCAGGAATTCCAGCCTAGTACGGCAAGGGTGGAAACTGGACTTTTAAAGTCAGTTAATTCTCTTGCCTCGGGAAGATGATCTACCGTTACAACGACCTGACAACTACCTGTAATGGGTGCCATGAGCACCCGTGTCAACTTTTACTATTAAATGCACCAACGTTATCTTTAACAATTCAATAACTGATGTTATCTGTAACTATTCAATAACTGTCATTGTCTTTAACTATTCAATAACTGTTGTTATCTTAAACTATTCAATAACTGATGTTATCTTTATTCAATAACTGATGTTATCTTTAACTATTCAATAGCTGGTGTAATCTTTAACTATTCAATAACTGGTGTAATCTAAAACTATTCAATAACTGATGTTATCTTTAACTATTCAATAACTGATGTTATCTTTAACTATAGAATGCACCAATGTCATCTTTAACTATAGAATGCACTGACGTAAAAATAATTTATTCAATTAAACGACATTGTCTTTAATTATTCAACGTACTGATGTGATGCTTAACCATTCACTGCACTGACATTATCTTTAACTACTAGTATTCAAGGCACTGACATTATCTTTAACTACTAGTATTCAATGCACTGACATTATCTTTAACTACTAGTATTCAAGGCACTGACATTATCTTTAACTACTAGTATTCAAGGCACTGACATTATCTTTAACTACTAGTATTCAAGGCACTGACATTATCTTTAACTACTAGTATTCAATGCACTGACATTATCTTTAACTCTTTAATGCACTGATATGACATCCTAGTAATTGACAAGAACAGCTTCACACACAATCACAACTATCAGCCAACCGATGAGAAGGGAGAAATACTATTTGGTCAAACATAACATCTCCGTGCCATGCGGACGAACCGTCTCCAGTGTATTGCATTAATATAATGAGGATAAATAAAACGTAAACAGGTGTGAAGATGGGATGTTATTTTCCACCCTAGGTTTATGACAACTGTGTTTGTGGTTGTTAGTCTGTGACCACTGACTGTTTAATAGGTTTGTCGTCTCAGAGACATAGTGGGGCAGATATGTAGGAGAGAGTAAGTGACCCATTGCTTCTGTCATCATTCAGACATGTTACAGACAGATGGCTGCAGCTGCTAAACAACTGTTTGATGTTTAACGCCACACTTTGAGCTATATGACGACAGCCTGTAAATAATCGAGTCTGAACCAGACAATCCAGTGACTGACAATCCACACTGACGGGGTACGATGACGTGCAGTCAAACAAGTCACAAAGCCTGATCAATTTGCCTGTCTCATACGACCAGCATCAGTTGGTGAGGACTCATTCTCACCTAGAATCTGACCAGCCAATCTGTTTGGCCGCCTTGTAAAACCAGCATCAGTTGGTCAGGACTCATTCTCACCTAGAATCTGACCAGCCAATCTGTTTGGCCGCCTCGTACAACCAGCATCAGTTGGTCAGTACTTATTCACACCAGGAATCTGACCAGCCAATCTGTTTGGCCGCCTCGCAAGACCAGCATAAGTTTGCAAGGGTGGCCAAGTCATCTTAGGAACAGCAATTCGCTGTGCAGAGTTGCGTCCCTTGGGCAAGCCAGAAACCTATGATTGTGGGTTCGAATCCCGGTTCGCCCCGATTAAGTTTCTAGGTTTGTCAGCATCATACCCGTGCTTGTGGGTTTCACCGAAGTGGTAAACGTCTGAGACCTGCATCACTTCGGGCTTTCCTCCCACATTAGGCTGACACGCCCCAATATAAGTGGAATACTGTTAAAAGCGGCGTTAAACCCAACTCACTCACTCACTCATTCCAACCCGGAATCTGACCAGCCAATCTGATTCTCAGGAGTAAGTGAGTAAGTTGGGTTTAACACCTCGTTGAACAGTATTTTAGTTATACTACGGCATGTCAACTTGATGCATGAGTAAGTTTGGTTTAATACCACTTTGAACAATAGTTCAGTTATAATCAAAAGATGTCGGCTTCATGTTGGAGAGAGACTGTACTGCAGGCTTCAGGCATTTACCTCTTTGGAGAAACGCACAAGGACGGGTATGGTGCTGACAAACCTGAAGACAGGATCAGACCAAACTGGGATCTGAACTCACGATCATGGCAATTAAAATCAGGATCAGGCAGTCAGGATCACTGACTTGGTTGATGAAATGAAGTATAAAAAGAGAAATGTTTCTTAATATTATACAAAAAATTCCTATGCTTGTCATAAGAGGCGACTTATGGGATTGGGAGGCCAGGCTCGCTGACTTGGTTGATGCATGTCATCGTATCCCAATAGCGTGGATTGATGCTCATGATGTCAATCACTACTTTGAACAATATTTCAGTTATAATCATAAGGTGTCATGTTGGAGAAAGCCCAATGCCTTTAGGCATTTAAATTATTTTGGAGAAATGCACAAGGACGGGTATGGTGCTGACAAATCTGAAAACATGATCAGACTTAACTGGGATCTGAACTCACAATCATGGCAATTTAAATCAGGATCGGGCAATCAGGATCACTGACTTGGTTGATGCATGTCATCGTATCCCAGTTGTGTAAATTGATGCTCATGATGTCAATCACTAGATTGTCTGATCAAGATTTGAGACCAGATTTGATTATTTTACAGACTGCCATTGAATAGCTGAAATACTGCTGAGTGCAGCATTAAACAACCAACCAACAAAACATATCCATGCCCTGTAGCAGGATTCTACTAAAAACAGTCGCTCCTACCTCACTTACATAACAGATGGGACTGATGACATGGCTCTGACTTGGTAGACATGCAGTTCTTTGCAGGACACTAATTACACGAGCAATATAACAAAAATCAAATACGTACCTTTCGGGAGCTCCTGGGACTGCTTTGACTTGAATTCTTCAACGACCCTGCTCGTACATGTTCCCGTCTCTGTCGCCAAAACAGGAGAAAACCATATAAAATAGTCACTGACGATATCAACAAACACAGCGTTATTTCAGAGTAGGAGTGAGAGATAGTGTTTCCCATCATTGTGATAACAGCATTGGATAACCCATCTATGTTCGCTGTCAGAAACGTCACGAAATCCATTCCGTCACTCATTGCATGTCAATTTCACTGCATCAAATTTGCACCTTCTTTAACACACTTGTTGATGTCCTGTAATCGATGAGTATTTCAGTTTCATAATTGCTCATGACTGACAACAATCCCAGAATCCTCAAAGTCCATTTACACCCACGTAGATTTAGTTGAAAAAGCACCACTGGTGGATCAGGGTATCGGTTTCAGTAATATTGTCGTGTATGCATTTCCTATTACAACTGTTGCACATCTTGAAAGAAACGTGACATCGGCTGTCAGACGCACAAACACAGAGTCCCAGTAATATCCAGCTGTTTAAACATAACACAAGTCACAGTGACATGTGAAACTAGAAACTCAACTCATCAAAGCATAATCTAAACTGACATAACAAATGTAGCTTCAAACCAGGCATCCATTCTATGTCACAAAATCATGAAACAATATATGCAACTTATGAAATCAGTACTCCAAAGATTTCCAAACTATCCACAACTCCACTCCCAAAGAGATGAGGATTACTATCAGAGGAGCAGCATAACACTGTGTCCTACAAACAATCCCATTTCTGGTCCACACAAGGACTCAGTGTTGCTCCCAGCTGATTGACACAGCTCTGACTTTTCACAAGTACTCTAATTTCTGTTAATAGCTGTCGATTTGCATCGTGAGCAGCCATCTATCCAGCACCACAATGCTGCACTAACAACAAGGAAACGTTCATTTCATTCCTGGGCTTGTCAATGTCACCTAAGAATCCCGCCTCTGTTTACATTTCCGGATGATCATAAGTACATCGATCTGTTTGCATGTTGCAGTTGAAGCCTTAACCTATGAGCCAAAATGCTCATGCAGCGTAGGACGTTACTGTCAACAACGCGTAAACGAGTGTGAAATTCATGAAAAGTATACGCCTTCCGATCAATGCCCTCGCTGATTACATGTCGAAAATGATGAAAAGGTTTCAGGTTCAATAAAACCCTGCACTTCCAGATCTGGTCGTAAATATTCTTAAATGGGAGTTTATTCAGCCAGCATAGCACCAGCTATTTATTAAGTGTACAACAGGCTTTAAAGCTTCCTCTCGGAAACTAACTTCACCTCTAGCAAGTCAGTGCATAAGGAATGGGTCAGGATGGCCATTTAAACAACAGCTACTTAACTTGATGGCTTCTTAAGCAATGAATACGCCATGCTATATTCAAATCCAGCCTTCCTTGGCACAGTATTACAGTATCCAGAACACTTTCTTAATGAAATCAACATGCTACTCCTGAAGTCTTCTCAATAAATTTATCTTGTTACAATTTAGGAAAAGCTCCTATTCTTCATCTGTTTACATTTTTTAAACATTTATCAAACAGATTCTACTTAAATTGATTTTATACTCTGAAACCCTGAAATTGATTTTATGAAATGTATATCCCCAGTTTACAGCTGTCAGTTTCAGCTGAACTCACGTATATTGCATGTCAATTTCAGAATGAAACCTGTTACTTAACTGACAAGGCACTGCAGATGAGGAATTATCTGCACTTGCTGTGTGTCTCCTGAGGCCTTTTTGCAAATAAACTTATTCTTTTCTACCACATATTATTCAGAAACTCATGTAAACTAACATGACACCAACTGCTCAAATTGTCAAGGTCTACATTTTAAAGAAACAAATCCCTTCTTTCAGGAATTCCAGGTTTCTTAAATTCTAAAATTGATAGAATAATTAACTATAATTATCAATTATATAGTAATTCAAAACTTGTTTTAGGAAAACAACATATTATTTTCTCACAAATGGCATTCAAAATATACTTATGGAAACATAAATATTTTTTTACAATACATGGGCACACCAAATATGAATAATAGCATCTGCAGGCACAAAGAAAACAATCTCCTCACGAATCTACACTGTCATTAACTTTAATGTGCACAAATACTGCCGCCAGTCAACATATCGCATTCAGCTGTGCAATCATCCCCAAAATGCCTCTGTAGCCCAACTGAATAAATCCATGTTCAGGTGTCTCCAAAACAGAAATAAACGCCTGCCTATCAGACAAGAAATCCACAACTGTTGCAGCTGCAATAACACTGCCTTCACCTCTTCGTGTCATTACCGATGCAAAATGAACAACTGTCACAAATACACAGCACACGTTCCAGTATCCCGGTCACTTTCAACGTGTTTTTTTCCACACTGATTACGTCTAAGGTCCGTGGTGCACCATATTGATCCACACACACTATGTCGTCAATTTCAGACTAGCAGTCGCAGCCCAAGCGTCAATTTCAAGGTCTGTAAATGTGCGACTTCCTCCCATGGTGCATGTATTGCGACAGACAAAATGTCACTCGGCATCCTTCTGTGGTCCAGCTACATTGAATTAACCTCTAACCCATCTTGGCGATTATTTACACACCCAACCAACCCTAACAAGAAAAGAACAAGTCTTTTGTCACAGAACTTCAATATTTGTCAATGTTGAAGGATCACATGTCACTCAGTGAGAAGATTGACAGCTACTGACCGTTCACCCACAGTGAGTGAAGCATGTGTTGGGAATGTTTTCGTAACTGTATAGCAGAACACTTCTACCACACACAATAGCTGACAGGTATTTTTTTTTAAGCATGTACCAATGACTCATCAGGTAAAATAGTAAATTTGAAGAAAAAAATTAACAGCAACGGTGATTGAATTTCATATTAGATGAATCACACATATTTCTTTAACACCTCACGATAACAATATAATCAGTCTACTTTTAGCACAATTGCTGTCAGGTACTCTTTTCAAAAGACGGTGAGACCAATGAATCATCAGGTTAAAAATTAAAAAAATATATATTTATTTTTTAAATTAACAGCAACGGTGATTGAATTTCAACGCAGCTGAATCACACATATTTCTTCTTTAACACTTCACCGTGATTTAACGCCTACTGTGTGTATCAATACTTTCATAAATGCAAATAATTCTGTACACAACCATACACATTTGCATGGTATTTTCATATATTTCATCCATGAATCATTGCCACACAATAACCGTGGTCTCCTGCCACACAATAACCGTGGTCCTCAGGGAAATATTCCCATGAACAGTTTGAATCCAACACATTTGATTCAACAACAATTCAAAATGCCCCAGGTAGCAAGATCCAATCAGGAATCACTGTCCTATTTTTTCAACAGTCTCAATGCTCCTCTAGATTCCAGTAATCTGCACAAGTTCACAGCACATTCCACCATCCAGGTAAAATACGCAATGCTTGAATCCAAGAATTATGTTTTTCAACCAAGGATCCACAAAAAAATGGAAATATCTTCTAATTCAAATTTTCAAATTTATGCATGCCCTGTACCCTCTTTCAGGCCATTTTCCATTATTCCAACTGTTTACACAACCAGTTGAGGTCAACAGCATCAGACTGTCCTCTTGATGATTCATGCACCAAGGCACTGACTGACTGTTGATCGTACACTTGGCTTCCTCAGGTCTGCTTCTATCTACCGTAAATGCTCTAATAAACATGGGGGCACAGGTGGCCCACTCATCTAAGGCACCGCAATTCGCTGTGCAGAGTTGCATTCCTTGCATTCCTGAATCTATGATTGTGGGTTTGAATCCCAGTTCGCCCCAATTATGTTTCTAGGTTTGTCAGCACAATACCCATGCTCGTGGGTTTGACCAACGAGGTAAACGTCTGAGACCTGCATCACTTCGGTCTTTCCTCCACATTAAGCTGACACGCCATGATATGACTGGAATACTGTTCAAAGTGGTGTTAAACCCAAATCACTCACTCACTCACTCTAACAAATGTGCTGACATGTTATCAATGATGCCTTTCAACCTATTTCAGTTAGCTTGTTTGTTGTTTAACGCCGCACTCAGCAATATTCCAGCTATATGACGGCGGTCTGTAAATAATCGAGTCTTGACCAGAAAATCCAGTGATTGATATCATGAGCATCGGTCCACGCAATTGGGACCAAAGATATGCATCAACCAAGTCAGCGAGCCTGACCACCCAATCCCAATAGTTGCCTCTTACGACAAGCATAGTTGCCTTTTACCAAGCTGTAACTGGTTTCTCATTCTAGTAATACCTTTTAAAACCCTTTCAGGTCAGAACCATTGTGTCTTGTAGAGATATAACAGGATGATTAGATTTTTCCTTTGAACCACTGACACATTGTTGTCAATATCAAGCACTGACTCAACAAATAAAAAAACAAACTTTGTGATCACACAAAGGGTGAATGTTTGATAGATGTAAAGAATATGCTAAAATCAAGTTAACTACGGTACATCTAGCCCCTACTGGGGACGAGAGCCCATGAGTCATGTTTTTGTCATCCCTTTGTTGTAAATAGTTGTACATGCAGGTACATCAGACTGAATGAAGGCTCGCTCTCCACTCAAGCTTGTAGCCCCTTCAACTCGGAGCTTCACCATAGGGTGGAACCATCATTTTGAATGCTGATGCTACACCTGTAATTTAGCAAATTCCTGAGTTATGAAAAGTAAATGATAAGATTTTGATACATGAATGGCTTGATGATACTTGCTAAATGTTCTGATTGTTCTGCTTAATAGCACATGAACAACCATAAACATCTAGGAATGTCAACAGCCGAGTCGAACTGACTTTGTAAGACGATCAATTACTCCATAAAGTCTTGCTATACATATACAATAGATAGAATCTATTCTTAGGTCTTTTTGTTCCCTTTAAAATATGAACCCTCAATTGAATTTGATACCAAATACTTTAAGCTGAAGCATGCAAAGAATTACGCCACTGAACCAGACATCTGCTTGGATGACCAATCGATCCGTGATTGGGAATAAAACCTCGGATTACTTGTGACGTATGTACGCTTGAACCACAGGGCCAGCCTTAGACTAACATCTAGTCTCTGAAATGAACATATCCTACATAAAAAAACAGTTGTTCAGTTATCTTAATAAAAATATAATAAAAAGGAGCCCAGTGACTCTCTTCATTTTCAGATACTGCAGTGATCTAGACTTGCCAAACATTATAGACTTGCATGGGCTGTATTTGATATATATTTGTATCAGGGTCTGTAAGACAGACTAGGCCAGCCTCGTCTTTAGCAACAGACAACAAACTAAGCCTGAACATCATATTCAACTCAAAAGACATAAAACAACAACATATCTTTTCTCAAAAGTATTTGACACAGATTTTATATGAATACTACTTGAAAGAAGTTAAAGAACACCTAATTCTTTTATATGACTATATTATCATGACTGATTAACTATAGTCATATGAACAAAACATCACATGTTAACTTAAAATAATGAAATGCAATTGACTTGACGCTAATTTCCTAACAAAGACTAGAATATGACAAAAAACATCAAAATGTTCCCAAAAAAGTACACTGTATCATAAAAAATGTTTTGTTTATCTTTAAACTGCAATTTATGTCTTAAGTATGGTTTATTCATCTGTAGACAAGAACAACAATAATGGATTCGTACAGTCCCCAACCCCCTCCCTTTCCGTTTCTTAAATTTAAAAGTTGGAGATTTGAATCCAGACTTTTAATATGATCAGCAAACGCCATAACCTCTAGACGACCCATGGCTACTGAGGGTTGATTCCAACACTGCCAGCACTACCTTACATCCTACACGAAGGACTGATGGACACTCACTACAGGACAGACAATCTCTCACTGTAGTCAACAACACCAGGATCCAACGTCACATATCAAAACAACCTTGACCTAAATAATATATTGTCATATGAAACCTCAAATTGAAAACAGATATATTTGGTGTCAATGGCTGCAGGAACACTATGATTACTGTGATACATGAGGTAACTATGTTACACTGTACATGATAGTCACAGAACGCATTCTACATGGAACCAACTGTATGGCAGGCAAACGCCTCGTATGAAGGTCACGGTAAACTGATTATTTGTTGGTTGTATCCCCTTACAATTATTTTCAAAATAATTGAAACAAGTTTTGCGCCAATGTGATGCTTCTTTGTTTGTTGTTTGATGCCGCACTCAGCAATATTCCAGCTTTATGACGGAGGTCTGTAAATAATCAAATCTTGACCAGACAATCTAATGATTAACATCATGAGCTTTGATTTACACAACTGGGATACGATGATGTTCATCAACCAAGTCTGCGATCCTGACTGCCCGATCCAGATCTAAGTTGCCATGATCATGAGGTCAGATCCCAGTTTAGTCTGATCATGTCTTCAGGTTTGTCAGCACCATACCCATCCTTGTGCGTTTCTCCAAAATAATTTAAATGCCTAAAGCCATTGGGCTTTCTCCAACATGACACCGTATGATTATAACTGAAATATTGTTCAAAGTAGTGATTGACATCATGAGCATCAATCCACGCTATTGGGATACGATGACATGCATCAACCAAGTCAGCGAGCCTGACCTCCCAATCCCGATAGTTGCCTCTTACGACAAGCGCCATGAATTGAATTGGGATTTTTTTGCATAATATTACATTTCTCTGTTTATACTTCTCTATTTTTTATAACCTACCTCCTTATACAAAGTGTGTGGTTAGAAAAATTCAAGTAAAGAAATTGAGCAAAGGTTACATCAAAAGTTTTGTGTTTTTCGGAGTGTGTGTGACGTGACGCCACACTCAACAGTATTTCAGAGCATTATAATATAGCAGTCTGTAAATAATCAAGTCTGGACTGGACAATCCAGTGATTGCTGTCATCAGCAATGATCCATGCCATTGGAATACAATGACATGCATCAACAGAGTCACCAAATCTGACCACCCGATCCTGTTAGTTGCTTCAAACAAGCGTGGGTTCCTGATGATCATTTCAAACCCGGATCTTCACGGATATAATTCACATATTCCCAGTCCCCGTCCTGTTTTCCGTTTTGCCAGATGTGAGATCCACCATAGTGACAGTTTACAGGAAGTAGCTTACAAGACATCACAAGGAAACAGACATACATAATTGCATGTTCTTTAATATGTCCTCAATATTAGCATTTAAACTGAATCACTTATTTTGACGTTTTCCTCCATGATACTGCCCAACTAACATAAATGGAGCATCTGTAGGTATTTCAGCATCTAGATTCTATAACACTGATCACCTTGTTCCCATCAAAATCCAATGATGCCCCCACCTACAATGACCACCAGCCATTCTATTCATCCCACCCACCTTGATGTTCACGGTTTGCCCATCTTCCCGAGGCAAGGGAGTTAACTGACTATAGGTGAGGTGAAATTGGGTTTAACGTCGCGTCCAAGATTATTGCACTTATATAGCGACGTGCATGTACGTGTGTGTGTTTGTGTGGCTGCTTGTACTAGTCCGGACTGATGTCGATTTATAGTGCTAGCACACTGAGATACCATGCCACAGTTTAACATGAATACCCCACTCAGACACAGTATACTGACTCCGAGCCGACCAGTCCTTTTTTTAGCCCCTTAATGCCGAGCGCCAGACAGAGTAACAACAAGTACCATCTTTTAACGTCTTTTGGTATGACGCGGCCGGGGATCGAACCCCGGACCTTCCGCTCTCCGGGCGGACGCTCTACCACAAGACCACGGAGGCGGTCTAACTGACTATAAAAGTCCAGTTTCCACCCTTGCAAAACTAGGCGGGTATTATGGAGTTACATTTTGGCTGGACTAACGAGTCCATGCATCGTCCAATCAAAATCATGCAACAAAATCGAAATCAAGTTTGTGAAATTGTCGTGCAGATTCAACTGGGTACTTTAACTGAATTAACCTGTGTTATTTCTGTCAGTCTGAAGGCCAGGTTTGAACCTGAAATAGACAATATCATACCGATTGTCTGTCTGGTGTCTGGGTGCCCATTTCACATTTGACAGATGTGAGTCGTGCCTCCTCACCGCCCCGAACCTCTGTGTTCTGTTTCAGAGTCTGGAAACAACAACACAAGTCGTCAACAACAAAACAGGTTATCAACAACAAAACAACATAAGTCATCAACAACAAAACAACACAAGTCGTCAACAACAAAACAGGTTATCAACAACAAAACAACATAAGTCATCAACAACAAAACAGGTTATCAACAACAAAACAACATAAGTCATCAACAACAAAACAGGCTATCAATCACCAATCCTGCAACTTTATTGTTAAAAGATTACAAGGACATGATGGTAGGTATACATACAGGGAGGAGTGAGTGAGTGAGTGAATATGGTTTTACGCCACTTTTAGCAATATTCCAGCATTATCACGGCAGGGGTCACCAGAAATGGGCTTCACACATTGTATCCATGTTGGGAATCGAACCCCGGGTCTTCAGCGTGACGAGCGAACGCTTTAACCACTAGGTGAGTGAGTGAGTGAGTGAGTGAGTGAGTGAGTGAGTGAGTGAGTGAGTGAGTGAGTGAGTGAGTGAGTTGGTTTTAACACAGCTTTGAACAGAATTCCATTCATATCAGGGTGCATCAGCTTGATGTGGGAGGAAAGCCTGATATGCTGCATGTCTCAGATGTTTACCACATTGGTGAAACAAATAAGCAGGGGACTGGTGCTGACAAACCCAGAAACATAATCCGACAAACCCGGGATTCGAACCCACAATCACAGGTTTCTGGCATGCCAAAGGGAGGCAACTTTGCACAGCAAATGACGATGACAATGATGAATATTGCTGGTTGACTGGGTCTTATGAAGGGTGTTTTGGAAGATGGATGATTTGAAAGTGGATCAAAGATTGATTGATGTAAAAGAACATATGAAATTACCACAGATGTAAAAAAAACTCACAAAAACACTTTGCGAAGACATTAAGTTTCCTAAAACTTCAAATATGATGGCGCAGGTGTCAAAAAAAGCTTGCACAGCTTCCCACAGCTATCCTAGTCTCTACAGCGGTAGAAACTAACATTTTTGGTCCACTAGTCCGTATAATGATAATATATAGCAAAACCCTTAAAAATGGCAAATTTCTACTTGTCCTTATGATACCTTTACTATTGGGCAGTTTGGCAAGGACTACATGACTAGTGCCAATTTCTAACCCTGCTCTACATCTACTCTGCACCTCCTAGAAGGGCCTTGTCAATGCAACCAGACATACCACACAGACAAGTTAAACACTTCCAACAACAGGAGAATTAGAAACAGAATAATCACCTCCATTTTCTGGCCCCAAATCTGACTTTCAAAATGCAAACCCATAAATAACACTATTAGTAACCAGTTTCAAATCCTGTTAACACAATTTACTTTTCAACTTTTGGATGCAGTGACAATAAACTTTGAAATGAGTCAGTGAAAGAGACCCCTGGTTCCTGTTGAGCCTCCAGGGTGACTCACTGTCAATGGCAACCCGTGAACGGAATAAACATTTCCGCACTCATGTGGTCAGTCATATTCATGGCATACTGTCACAGTGAGTGAGTGAGTGAGTGAGTGAGTGAGTGAGTGAGTGAGTGAGTGACTTAGTGAGACGGGTATCACGCTGCTTTGAGTGAGTGAGTGAGTGAGTATGGTTTTGCGCCGCTTTTAGCAATATTCCAGCAAAATCACGGCAGGGGACACCAGAAATGGGCTTCACACATTGTACCCATGTCGGGAATCGAACCCGGGTCTTCGGCGTGACGAGCGAACGCTTTAACCACTAGGCTACCCGACCGTCCCTAATGCTGCTTTGAACAGTATTCTGGTTATATCACAGTGTTTGAGCTTGATGTGGGAGGAAAGACCGAAGTGATGCAGATCTTAGACGTTTGCTGCTTTGGTGCTTGCAAACCCAGAAACATAACCAGGATTCAAATCCACGACCACAGGTTTCTGGCATACCCAAGGGACACAACTCTGCAGAGATAATTGGGCAACTGCTACCTGATATCTTCCTAACTTTACATACTGTATTTAGTTAAATAAATCTGTTCAACTTGTTTGTATTCAAAGAAACATATAGATTAGTGAACCTTATTCTTTATAGTCGGTTCAAAAAGGAGAGATAGTCGCTGAATGTGTCACGTGTTCATATTGTCACATAGTATCAAACCAACGAAGATCAGGCTTAGAATTGCTTGTTGTACAAGGTGACTAACGGGATTGGGTGGTCAGGCTATCTGACTTGGTTGATGCATGTCACAGTATACCAGTTGTGTAGATCAATGCTCATGATGTCAATCACTGGATTTTTAAGAGACCACCATCACATAGCTGGAATATTGTTGAGTATGGCTCACAACAAACAAACAAATAAAGTATAGAGATTGTTCACCAAGTGTGTTTTCATATGGTAAATATAATATATCATGAACAAAAATTATATTATGCAAGCCTTACTAAAAGTCGGATTCATTTGCATATTTGTCATATAATGATACCAAGTTTATCTGACTGATTTATCCTATCAATAACACCAACCATTTCATGATAAACAACATTATTAACAATAAAAGTATCATTGCTGGTCACATTTGAAGAAAGACTGACAATTTACTGACAATTTACTTATTACTTACTTATTATTTATTTATTATTTATTTATTATCTATTTATTATTCAATTATTCTATAGCTTCTTCTTTATTGTTGGGTGTATGTTTATGGGTTTGTTGTTTCCATACTGCATGCAGTCAATACATTTCAGATAGCCGCACAACACATTTGAAATATTTCAACTATTTAACATGCCTTCATCATGTCCGGGAAGACTGCCTGTGGTTTAGTGGATAGTGCGTCTGCCCATCTCCAGCCATGTCATACTAACAGACGTTCAAAGATGGTATGGCCCAGTCGTCTAAGGCGCCACGACTCGCTGTGCAGAGTTGCGTCCCTTGGGCACGCCAGAAGCCTATGATTGTGGGTTCGAATCCCTGTTCACCCCGATTACGTTTCTAGGTTTGTCATCACTATACCCGTGCTCATGGGTTTCACCAAAGTGATAAATGTCTGAGATCTGCATCACTTCGGGCTTTCCTCCCACAATAAGCTGACACGCCGTGATATAACTGGAATACTGCTATAAGCAGTGTTAACCCCAACGCACTCACTCATTCACTCAAGGATGGTACATGTTGTTACCTTGCCCGGCACTCAGCATTATGGGAAATAAGGGACTGGTCACACACATGTTCTCCTATGGTGTCTGAATCTGGGGACACCTAAATCTTAACCATGAACATTTGGGCTATAGCTAAAGTCCCTTGATTTTCATGCTTTATTTTGTACACTGTATTAGACCAGTAGAAAACATCATGGCTACTCTTTCCAAAAAGTGATCTTAGTTCTTTGATGTCATAAAAGGCGACTGTGCTTGGCGTAAGAGTGAGTGAGTGAGTGAGTGAGTGAGTATGGTTTTATGCCGCTTTTAGCAATATTCCAGCAATATCACGGCGGGGGACACCAGAAATGGGCTTCACACATTGTACCCATGTCGGGAGTCGAACCCGGGTCTTCGGCGTGATGAGCGAACACTTTAACCACGAGGCTACCCGACTGCCCCACTTGTCGTAAGAAGCGACTAACGGGATTGGGTGGTCAGGCTCGCTGACTTGGTTTGTGCATGTCATTGTATCCAAACTGCATAGAACAATTCTCATGTCGATCACTGGCTTGTCTGGTCCAGACTATTTACAGACCGCCTTCATATAGCTGGAATATTGCTGAGTGTGGCATAAAACAACAAACAAACAAACAAACAAACAAGACTGTAACCTCTACACTTTAACGTAGAATAACGACAGTGAGATGCTTATTTCCCCAACTACATAAACACCAACTACCAATCTTTCCTTAACAGCAAGAGGTGTGGCACCATGTGTGGCGCTGTTTTTGAAACACAGGAAGTCCTTGTCTTTGAAGTCCACATCCTATGTAAGAGTAGGGGAAATAAGTTTAGGTAAGATCAAATTATTTTTAGAGTTTAACTGTTGAGTGTTCAGTATTCTTTCAAATGAGCATGGCAGCCTTGTGGTCAAAGTGTTTGATGAAAGGTCCGGGTTTGATTCCCCATATAGAGGTACAAGTGTGAAGCCCCTTTCTGGTGTCTACCGCTGTGATATTGCTGGAATATTGTCAAAAGATGTGGAAAAATAAACTCACTCACTCAAATGAGAGTACATTACATGTAACTGGCTTGTTGCTTCTCAATGTTTCATTCCCTATATAACATTATTTATTTAAATTTATTTCGCTACAATATGAAAAAAATCATTTGGAATAGTCATGAAAATTCTTACAATATTTCAATTTTGGAAAGAAGAAAAAATCAAATGTCTATCTTACTTATTTCTTCACGAAGCATGGCAATCAAACTGAAGACAGACTGCTTCCTCCTGTCCCAGAAGAGTTGTCTCCCCTAGACCAGCACAAACGGCCAAAATGACTCCACACACTTGCTCCTACTTTGTTAGACTAAAAGGAACCCTAGTGATTTGGGAGATTCAGAACCTGTGTCATATGTAGACTTGCTTCATTTAGGACAATGGATTTACAGTAAGAGAATGGGCGGAAGGGAAAATAATATGGTTTAGGGACCATGAGACAGACTAATTCTTCGACCGTAAACCTGTTTGTTTATGAACGTTTCTTTTGAATCGAAGACGTTATAAAAATGAAAATCAGTGTGGTTCAGGGACTCTGAGGCAGACTAATTCTTCGAATGCAATCCTGTTTGTTTATGAGTGTTTCTTTTTCTTAAAAGAACATAAAGAAAATAAAAATCAATGTGGGAGACATAACATTTTGTTCAATGCCAGAGAAATGTGCCCTATTTCTTTATTCATACCAAATATTCCCGCTATATGACAGTGGTCTGTAATTAATAGAGACTGGTCCAGACAATCCAGTGATTGATATTATTAGAAATGATCCACACTGTCGGGTACGATGACATCCATCCATCGAGTCACCATGCCCGACCACCAATCTATTAACCCCCTCTTTTGACTACCATACGTTCCGAAGGACCAATTCTAACCACTTGCAAATCTAACACAAACAGCCACTTGGGTACATATTTTTACGTAACTAACACACACGTAACTAACACACATAGTAGCCACTGTAAATTATAATATATCACAATATTCAACTGGCCATTCTCACCCTGACACAGGCGGGGTTTAAACTGACGACAAATATAGACGTCCACTGTATCCATGATGGTATCACATGACAGGCTGTGGACATGTTTGTGATGTTATCACATCATGAATACTTTGTTTGTTTGTTTGTTTGTTTATTTGTTGTTTAATGCCACACTCAGAAATATTCCAGCTATATGACGGCGGTCTATAAATAATCGGGTCTTGACCAGACAATCCAGTGATTGATATCACGAGCATCAATCCACGCAATTGGGATCGATGACATGCATCAACCAAGTCAGCAAGCCTGACCACCCGATCCCGTTAGTCACCCCTTACAACAAGCATGGGTTGCTGAAGACCTATTCTACTCTGGATCTTCACGGGTTGATTAACCTGGTAATTTGGAGAACAAAGTGTCCAAGCTCACCTGTAGTTTAGCTAGCGGAATGATGTCACAGTTCTGTGGTCGGTGCCAGACCGTCTTCTGACTCGTGGCATTGTAGTAGTAGAACCTGGACGTGTTCGGGTCAAACAACTCCCACCACTGGTTGTCATCAGTCTTTTTACTGCAAACAAAAAACAGAACATTCAACACTGTGTTCAACAAAATAATTGCAACTGTATGTAATTGGTCCACACAAAATACTGCTGCAAAAGTCTCGGCCTGCAAAAAATAAATAGTTAAATTTATCATTGACACACATGTTATCTATTTGGCTTCGCAATGTGCAAAGATTCAGGCAACTATTATACATATATTATTGATTGATGAAGTTCCACTACTAAAAATCTTAATGCATCTCATCCCCATCTCAGCTCTAGCAGTCCATACTGAATCATTCTCAGCTCTAGCAGTCTCTAATCAACCCATTCTCAGCTCTCTGAAATTACAATTTTTTAACGTTGGAGGGTTCCTAACAGAATTATTTTATTTAACCTTGCACACGGCTTTCTTTCAGGGACTATATGTTAAATGCTTCAAAAGGCACATGGTGCAATCATCCAAGGGAGACAACTCTTTCAAGATCACCATCCTCACACCCCTCTTCATCAAAAACATAATCACAGCCTCAATTATTGGAGTACTGAGAGCAGCCTTCACACAACCTCCCAGCTTCCCTTTGATGTGGACGTAATAAAATGAAATCATCATTGTAGCAATATGAAAGTGAGTCTGGAACCACGGAACTGAGTGAACTGAGCGTTAGCTGCTGAAGTAGGGGATGGGATGGCCATAGAAGCGGGGGGGGGGGGGGGGCAAGGGGAAATGGATTCTTTAAGTGAGTACATGAATGATTACATGTGACGGGTAGCTGTCAGCTGTGAGATTGGCAAGGTTTGGGAATAATCTGACTGCTGAAGGTGTGTGGGATGTGTCTGTTTACAATGACAGGCAGGAATCAATTTACAAAATCCAGTGGGTGTAAAATTGATCGAAACTTTAGAAATGTAAAATTGATTATTTCAAAATCGGAAATCGAATCAATGGCGTCTATTTATAGCAGTTGCTGTTATTGAGTAAAGTTACGCTTTTTAGCAACATTTTTCCCAATTGATTTCTTTTTTGAAATATTACTATGTCATTCTACCCAATGTCATTCTGACGTCTGCAAGTTACAAAGATTAATATCTCATTTCTTCCGGTTGAGATGAAGCAAGTAGCCAAGTGGTTAATGTGTTAGCTAGTCACACAGAAGACTCAGGTTCAATTCCCTACATGAGGACAAAGTGCAAAGATAATTTCTTGAGGCCATTCTCTTGCAAAGGGTGGTGGAATAGCCAAATGGTTAAAGTATTCACTAATTTGGCCAAAGACTTGAGTTTGATTCCCAAAATGGTCACCAGTTGTATGCCAGGGAGTTCTGGATGGAAACAGATGCACAAACTTGCATCAAATTAATCTTGCTGGCAGAACATATAATCAACTTGAAACAACAATTACATGGTATTTTATGCCAAGAGTACTTTCCATGAAACTAATTCTATTCCTTACTAATTTTCCACAAAGTTGAGGGTCATAGTGTCCTAGACTAACACTTATTCTCTGAAAATACATAATTTTGTGATATTGATGCAACAGTGTTACAATAGTAAACAATAAACGCCACTCACTTATGATACAAAGCACAACAATCACATAAACAAATAACACACTGGTTAAATTAGTTGAAACATTCATAAAATGGTATATACTGCAGATATGCCAAACGCCTTGACTTGCACCCGTCTCTAAAGGACTAATTTTCAGTTTAAATCATAAGTACTAGATTATGTAAATAATAAGAACAAGTTGTCCCTATATGAGACTTGAGTCCTTACGTACTGTCCACATATCTAGACTTGCCAATTAGGAGGATAGAATGACTACACATTTGAGATCTTTTCTTTCAGTCCAGCCTTCAGCAAAGCTACCAAACGTCCAAAGTTGTCTGTTACTTTCAAAGTTCTTTTAATCATGTATGCCCTAAATGGTAGTCCAAAGTGGGATAATGGTAAAAATCGATTCACTGAGTATATCACAAATGAAATGGGTCTCTATAAATTAAAAAAGGCTGCAACACAAACACATCCAAGAACCAGTCTCATTGAGATGGTTTTTGCTGATATCAAACTGGGAATTGTATCAGTGGTGTCCATTTATAACAGTCCCAATTAATAATTTAAGTTTCATTTTTAGCAACATTATGTCACTATGCAGAGATTGTTGTGCCAACGAACAGTATTTCAGTTACATGAAGGCATCACAGCTTGATGTGTGAGTGTGTGTGTGTTTGGTTAATGCCTCTTTGAACAGTATTTTAGCTGTAGCATTGAGTGTCAACTTGATGTGTGAGTGAGTGTGTCTGGTTTAACACCGCTTTGAACAGTATTTCAGTTATATCAAGGCATTACAGCTTGATGTGTGAGTGTGTGTCTTTGGTTTAATGCCGCTTTGAACAGTATTTTAGCTGTAGCATTGAGCGTCAACTTGATGTGTGAGTGAGTGAGTCTGGTTTTGGCTTTTAACAGTATTTTAGTTATATCAAGGCATCACAGCTTGATGTGTGTGTTTGGTTTAATGCCTCTTTGAACCGTATTTTAGCTGTAGCATTGAGTGTCAACTTGATGTGTGAGTGAGTGTGTCTGGTTTAACACCGCTTTGAACAGTATTTCAGTTATATCAAGGCATTACAGCTTGATGTGTGAGTGTGTGTCTTTGGTTTAATGCCGCTTTGAACAGTATTTTAGCTGTAGCATTGAGCGTCAACTTGATGTATGAGTGAGTGAGTCTGGTTTAACACCGCTTTGAACAGTATTTCAGTTATAACATGGCATGTGAGATTGTGTACAAACAAAAAGGTAACTTGATTAATGATGCATGTCAATGAATAAGGGCTGGCATGTTTAGCATTGAATTAAACAGAGTGGCAAAAAATAGATAAAACAGTGAGCATGTAAACAAACTATTACTGTGGCAGTAAAAACTCTCACACCACAAAACCACATGCAATCCTGCACCTTAAAAGCCGACAACAGAAGACCGACCCGAGTGAGACCTGCAACTGTCATTACACGGGGGAGTGTTTCCACAAGGCCACAGCTAAACACAACAGGCAATGAATCACCTCTCATGGTTTAATTGCTAATAGACGCCAGGTAGCTGTAAGTTCTCTTCACCTGATTCATGCATAGATCAGCATGTGTAGAGCTCTTACACTGTGGGAACCAAACCTATACACAGCAGATGGAGTACTGGAGCTTGTACCTGACACTGTGTGGAGTACTGTAGAGTTCTTACACTGTGTGGAGTACTGAAGAGCTCTTACACTGTGTGGAGCACTGAAGAGCTCTTACACTGTGTGGAGTACTGTAGAGCTCTTACACTGTGTGGAGTACTTTAGAATTCTTACACTGTGTGGTGGAGTACTGTAGAGTTCTTACACTGTGTGCTGTAGAGCTCTTACACTGTGTGGAGTACTGTAGAGTTCTTACACTGTGTGCTGTAGAGCTCTTACACTGTGTGGAGTACTGAAGAGCTCTTACACTGTGTGGAGTACTGAAGAGCTCTTACACTGTGTGGAGTGCTGTATATCTCTTACACTGTGTGGAGTACTGTAGAGCTCTTACACTGTGTGGAGTACTGTAGAGTTCTTACACTGTGTGGAGTACTTTAGAACTCTTACACTGTGTGGTGGAGTACTGTAGAGTTCTTACACTGTGTGCTGTAGAGCTCTTACACTGTGTGGAGTACTGTAGAGCTCTTACACTGTGTGGAGTACTGAAGAGCTCTTACACTGTGTGGAGTACTGAAGAGCTCTTACACTGTGTGCTGTAGAGCTCTTACACTGTGTGGAGTACTGTAGAGCTCTTACACTGTGTGGAGTACTGAAGATGATAAATAAAAGTTACTTTCTATTTTGTGGATATTTATTTTTAAATGACATAACCATATTTCTGAGACTAATTGTTAGTCTAATAGCAGATGGACAACGAGAGTTAAATGTACATGGCTCCTGTATAACGCTGGAGCTACTCACGGGTGTCTGAACACACTGACAGGAGTTGCTGATCACTTTCAGGTGAATTACTGCACGTCTTACAATATGCCAGTAAGTTCTGGATGGAAACAGATGCACAAGCTTGCATCAAATTAATCATGCTGGCAGAACATATAATCAACTTGAAACAATAATTACATGGTATTTTATTCCAAGAATATTTTCCATGAAACTAATTCTATTCCTGAACAATTTTCCACAAAGTTGAGGGTCATGATGTCCTAGACTTACGCTTACTCTCTGAAAATACATAATTTTGGTACAAGCATGTAACTACATTAAAAGAGGTCCCATTGAGATGGGAGAACCTGTGGAAAATCTAGACTTGCTTCATTTAGGGCTATAGCATTATACAAAGAGCTGGGCCGAAGGGAAAATAATATGGTTCAGTTTCACACTGTGTGAGACCGACTATTGATGGCCTAGAATTGCATCTCTGAGGAAATGATTATAAGTTGAAATCATAATTTCTAGACTATATGAATAATGATAATTAAAAGTTGTCCCTATCAAAGAATTGCCTCTCTAGTGTCTGTTTAGCTAGACTTGCCTGTTCTAAGGGTAGAATTACTATACATCCATGGGCTTATCATTCAGTACAGACATGGAGCAAGGCTAATAGTGCTCCCGTGGTCATGACAAAGTCGTAGGATTCATCAAAGTGGTAAATGCTCGTACCCTGCATCACTTTAAGATTTCCTTCAACATTAAGATGTCATATAAGTGTTAAAAGGGGTCACAAACCTAGCCCACTCGCTTAAAACATGATTTGGACCAAAACAAAATTCAGATCGATAATAAACAATAAAAGCTGAGTTCATTTCTTTGGGGTTTTTTATTACTGCAGAAAATGTTGCCACCAATTAATAAAAAAACACCCTGATTTTACCCAAAAAATTCAAAATATCTTTTTGTCAAACATTTAAGAAAATTCAAAATCATAAACTTCTCCATTCACTGCTAACAAGCAGGAGCGGACAAACCAGGAACACAGATAGTGTGACACAAAATTAAATCATTCACTATCA